CATCTCTGCTCTCTCATTAATCTATAGATTCTACAAACTCTAGTATTCTGATTAGCTCCGTTTTTCACTCATCATATAATTTTGTTTCTATTATTCTCTCTCTCCGCCTTCTACTCCGTACTACTCTCTGTATTACAGCAGACAAGGTACTTAACACGATGGTTGACGAGGTGCTTTACAAGGTGCTCTACTATATTAATATATATGGCTCTAGTGCCTCCTGTAGATTCGGAATGCCTTGGGCTGGGACTTTCACAGGCCAGGATCTAGTATAATCCAATAGATAGGGAACTCCTAGTAGGTTATAACATAATTCTGGCTGTAAATCAGCAACAACCCCGTGATAGATATGCTTATCAGGGTAGAAGACCTATCGATTTGCAGAAAGAAGAAAATATCATAATCCGCTTATGCTAGAATAAGAATAACTCTTGCTCATCTCTTCTATAGAGCTTCAGCTAGCAGGTATATCTATATGTTTAGTAGAGATACCATTTACATACAGGTAATATACTAGGGGGCGAGGCGTCAGGAGCCGCCTCAGACATGCAGAACAAATCTCTTAGATTATTCTTCAGTATATAGAGTAGATTATTTTCAAATATATGATTATACTGGGGGCTAATCGCCCTCAGGGCCCCGGCTTGGTAATTGTAAAGCTCTACTAGGTCCTGGCCTGCAGAGTCACAGCCCAAGGCGTTGCAAAGCACCTTACTAAGCCCCTTGGTCAAGCACGCACCTCGTAGAGCACCTTACCACCTCACCAAGCACCTCACCAAGCACCTCGTAGAGCCCCTTACCACCTCGTTAAGCACCTGCTCAAGCATTTTATCTGCTAGTAGAAGGCAGAGAGAGAATAGCAGAATTAAATACGTGACTACTTAAACAAAGAGCCAATAAGAACGCCAGAACTTGTCGAACTTGTAGACCAATTAGAGCCCAGAGATGGCAGGACTTCCGCACCCAGGACCTACCTTAGAACTGCTTCGCGCTAACGCGCTTCGCAAATAATCTGTTTTCAAAGTAAAGCTCAACTATTCCTCCACCCATCCATCGACAGATAGTAGAGCTTCACTCTGCGATATAAAGATTTAGAACTCCCATAGAGAGCTACTGTATAAGCCTGCTGCAGACTACTTAGCAGTATAAAGATTCTGTATGATATATCTAAGATATCCCGTGATATACCGCTGGCCGGCAGCCAATCAGAGACCCACCATGTAATTTACATTCTCGCGGACTAATCAGAGACTATAGAACAGCCTACAGGGATCCACAATTTGAGAATTTGCAACAGCCTCACAGCACTCTGTAATCAACAGTACAGTTTTAGACTTTTAGTAATTACCCCTATTATTCAAAGTATGTTAGATGCAGTCAATGATATATGTAGAAAGGCTTGTTGTATTGAGGGTGACGGAGGCGGGCCGGCGTTGATCAACACGGCGGCATGTGACCGGCACATGACCCACGCGCAACACCGGTTTACGGCGGCTACATACAGCAACTAGGTACGGTAGTATAGCATACTATTCCCTACAGGAAGATGAAGTGGTCAAGAATTATTATATAAATAGGATCATGGCCGGCAGGGGCTCTGTAGGCTATATTAGAATAGCTTAGAGTGGTTATATCTGACTATTATACCTTAACCTAACCTTAACTGTAAGTCTGTAACCTGACAGTCAGCCTGTCAGGTTAAGGTATAAGAATCCTCTTAACCGTACGGTTAAGGGTAGATTACAGTTAAAAGATTATTTTAACTAGTCTTAACTATAGATTAGAAAAATTAGATATAATCAGAAAATTAATAATTATAAATTAATTAATAATTTATATAAAGTTTTTATAAAAATAATATATTAATAATAATATATTTTTAATTATTATATTATCAGAATAAAATATTAATTAAATTAATTAATAATTATTTTTTTATTTTTTAATTAATAGCTAGTAGCTGATAGTCTAGTAAATTTTATATTAAATTTATATAAATAATATTAAATATTTAAAATATAATTAAATTAAATTGTTAAAAAGAAATATATAAATTATTTTTTAAAGTATTTTTTAAATTATTTTAATTAATAATTATAATATTAAAAAAATTATATAATTTAAATATTTATTTATATTTAAATATTTATTTATATTTAAATATATATAATATTATTAAATTAAAAAAACTTTAATTTTTTAAATAATATTTAATTCTTAGAATTATTATTAAAATTATTTTTATTTCTATTCTTATTAATATAGAAGATTATTATTAATTTATTATTTTTCTAATTTTTAATTATAAATGTAATAAAATCTAGAATAAAATTATTAAAACTATTTTAATATTTTTTTAATAATAATAAAATAATTATAGTAATAGTACTAAATATTTTTTATATAGTTAAAAAATTAAAAATAAACTAGTTCTATTAAATATATTAATATTTTTACATAGATCTTTTAATTATATATTATTTTTAAAAACCAATTTATATAAAACACTAATATTAAAAATTAAAATTTTTATATAATAATAAGATTAAAATTAATTTAAATAATTAGATTAGTAATAAAATAAGTCTTTACTAATTTAAAATTTTTTTTATTTTTATTTATATATTTATATATGTTTTATATTTATTATAATCTCTGGATATTAACTATTTTTTATTATTAAAATATATATATAAATATTTAATAAAAATTAAAATATATTTTAAATTTAATTATATTAATAAGTTTAATTTTTTTTAAATTGTTTTAAAATATATATAAAACTTTATTTTATTAATAATATTTATAGTAGTTTTTCTACTACTAGACTAGTTTTATATAATCTAAAATAAATACTTAATTAATTAAATATTTAATTAAAACTTATTATACTAATAGACAGTTAGTTAATTAATTTAATATTTAAAATATATTATATTTTTTACTAGCTAGAGAAATAAGTATTTATAATTAAAAAATTATTTAGTGTGATAGGATCTACTTGTCAGGATAGGTTACCTATTGACTAGATAAGGAATCAACTATAAACCACTATCAGTTTATAATAAAACAGATAAAGATAATCTATATTTATAGAAAAGACTAATTTTTAAGAAATTAGTAATAGATTAATAAAATTTATTATTATATACTAAATAGAGTATTGAAAATTCTTTATTAATAATCTTATAATTTTATTAATTATTTTATTAATATATTATTTTAATATCTCTAATTACTATAGATTAGTTTATTTTATTATAAATAATATTTTTCTACTAGACTGAATTATCTAGATTAGTCTATATAAAAATAATTTTATAATTACTAAATAAATTAAAAATAATAAATAGTTAATAAATAATAAAATATTTAAAATTATAATTATATAAATCTAATAAAATATTAATATAGAATATATTATAATCTATATATAAAATATTATATTATAGTAGTAATAATATCTTTAATAAATATACTAGTATCTTTAATTTTATAATAAGATATCTCTTCTTTATACTACCTAGACTTCGCCTTTTATATATATAATAAATAATATAAAATATATAATTTATTTAAATAATAATTTTAATTAATATGTTAAATAACTGAGTTTTATAATAATTTGAAATAATCTAGTCTATTATTAATTATACTTATTTTTAATAAACTTCTAGTTATGACTTATAATATATATAATAAAGATAAATATAATATATTTTTTATATAAATAAATATAAGTTTTATTTTTAATATTAAGATTAATTAATATATATTTTTAATTATAATAATATATTTATATCATTGTTTAGTATTAAATTAAATATTAAACTTCTATATATTATCTTTAGTAGTTAGTACTAGTAAAATAATCCTTTATTAATAATTTTTAATATATTTATATTAAATTATAATTATAATAATTTAAATTATATATTTTAATTATTTATCAGTTATAAATAATATACAATAAAATAGAACCAGTTAATATATAAACTTTTAAAAATATGTTTTTATAAATTAGTTATAAAATAAATATTTTTATCTAAAATAAAGTATTCTAGTAAGCTTTAGTTATATTTTTTAAAATATATAATAAAATATTATTTATAATAAATTATAATCTAGATAAATAATTCTGATATAAATCTAATATATTTAATAAATTTATTTATAATAATTAATAATTAATTATAAATATCTGATTCAATATTTTAAAATAGTAAAATAATAATAAGATTAAATATTATTATATAAATTAATACTAGTAAAAAAATAATTAATTAAAAATCTTTATATAATTTATAATGTTTTTTTATTAAATAAATAAATAGAATAATATTTAATATATTATTATAAATATTTATAATGTTTATATATAACTAGATCTTTTAAAATATTAATATATTTATTAATTTTTTAAAATTTTAATTATTATATATAAAATAAAATACTTATTTTATAAAAATATTAATATAATTATAAATTATTATTTAAATTACTATATTTTATATATAATAAATTATTTTATTTAATATATAATAATCAGTATTTTTTTAGCATTATTAAAATAATTAATATTTTATAATATAAATTATATATAATAATTATTTAAATATACTTTATAGCTTTTTATTTTAAATTTATCAGATAATTTAATAGCAGATAAAATATAGTAAATAAATAAATATATTATTATATTTTAAATTAAAAAATTTAATATTAATTATATTATACTTATTTACTATAATATAACTAGTATAAATATTAAATATAATATTAATATTAATATCAGTAAAAAGTTTATTAAAATTAAAATCTAATAATAATATATTCTAGATTAATAATTAAAATAGAATATCTGTAACTGTATTAGTAGTACTAGATTAATAAAAAAAATATAGAGATTATACTGCTGTATAACTAAGGTACTGCTCTATTTGTTCCTTGATTATAGTACCCGCTTTAAGGATAATTAATTATAGCAAAAACTCAAATTATGTCCCCAGGGAGGATCGAGCTCCCGGCCTTGGGATTTCCTGAAAGTTACACCCCCAAGTCATACAATATATATGAGACCCACGTGATAACCACTACACCATGGAGAAATTAGTGTCCCGCAAGCCCAGAAAGAACATATATGATGCTAGAAGTATATACGATTACGCATGCTCCTAGATACTTTTACTAGTTACCGACGGAAGACAAGAGTGCTAGACATTCATCTTACTCGAAATCACATACCTCCAAGCTGGAATGCACAATGGATAAGAGGGTATGCTCGATGAACAGTGCTCAAACATGGAATCACAAATAGGAAAATGACAAAGGCTTTTCGAAGAAAGCAAAGCCACTGTTTGTACAAAACACCGAAAATTGGCTATAGGGATATTAAATGACAAAAGAATTGGCTATGTAGATTATGGCTTGCTAAGGTTTGCTATGACTTCCAACAATAGGCAACATCAAGTCCAAAAACAGCGCCACTGACTGGGTTGTTTACTAGTATACTAGCACTGGTAGTTACTATTCTGATATTCGGTTTGGCTTTACTTTTCAAAATTATTCGTCACATTGGTTCTCCTTATTCGATTCTCACCAGGCGATTTGCCAATAAAAGTAGAAAAAAGACATCAAGGATGGCATGGATTTGAAAGCAGGCAAGGAGGAATATGGAAAGGGAAATATAAGAGGGCAAAGAACAACGAAAAAAGACGCTAATAAAAAAACAAAACAGCTTCCATTTTTAGTCCATAAAATCGCCTCGAAGAATTTTCTCCTGGAAAAAGTCCGGCTTGTTCTGTTTGGGTTGTTTTGGTATTTCACGAGCCGGTTGCTCCATTGAGGCAATTGACGCGGCTCGTTGATGGTGAGCCTGGTAGCCTTGCGGTCCCATGTTGCCCATGTTTTGGTTTTGAGTTGTATTGGGAGAAACAACGCTTAAAGATGGAGCTCGCTCAGCCCGGGTCCGTAAAGCTTCAGACCAGTTGAAGCCTTCGCCTATTTGTCGCCAAGATGGGTTAGATCCATCGCTCTGGGGGAAAACTTTATTTGTACTTGCAGGTATTGATCCTGTGGGGCTAGAAATAGATGTGCCGACATAGGATGATGTATATCGTCGCCCCCCAACCACTGGGGACGCAGGAGAGGGGTATCTACCATTACCAATGCTTCCTCCCCGGGCATCTCGTAATGCCTGCGCGCCAAATGAGAGGCGCCGTGTGAACGGCGAGTTGGGAGCAGCGCTGGGAGGACCATTCTCGCTATCTTCCATGACAGCTTCCTCAAGGTTTGCGGGATTAGATCCCACAGAACTGGACACGCTGCTATGTCTGATATTTCGGTTTCCAAAAGGAGAGGTTTGGGTTGGGGAGCCAGAGAGTCCTAATGTAGTTATAGACAAGCGTCGTCCCTGATTTGTTTGAGTGCCAGCCACCGTATTGGCCATGGGGCCAGGCGAGGTGCCCGCAGCAGCATTCTGACTCCCTGACCTAGAGAGATAATCCGTAAAGGAAATACCCGATGCCAGGGACGCTCGGCGCTGGCGCGCGGAAGGGGGAGGAACTGAAATCGGGGATGTCGAACGGTCGTTTGACATGGTCACAAAGTAAGTAATCCAGATCAATTGACAAAGAAAGTTTTGTACTTGTCGACGAGTAGCGTGTACTACAATGAGATGAATAGATCAAGGTCGGAAACGATACTGTTGGGTATTTAGGGTAAATCCGTGACATATGACGTCAACTGGAGAGAATCACTTCACAAGAGGGAGGGACAAAGAGAAGGATCCCCATTAATAGTAGTTCCTAGATGAAGAGTCTGGCAGACGTCAGCAACAGAAGGTAAACCATTCACCAGGGAAGTCTAAGAATTAAACCTGGGTGGCGGTGGCAATAATACAAAGTATTATAATAAGCAAGGCATCTCCACCGCAGGAAGGACAGGAAAGGTATGCAAGTAATATTTGACGATCAAGTGCAAGGAGGGACAAAGGGAGTAACAGCAGCACCAGTGAAAGATTTACAAGCAAACAGTTCAGCTCACCAAGAAACTGGGATAGAGGCCAATTCTTGACGCCCAGGATAGTTGGTAGCTAGAAGGTAACAGGAGGTTGTTTCTCCAGGGGAGGACTCTGTAGATAAGTATGGGTGTTGTAGAGGGGGGGATACACTGAGTCGGGACAGCTACAGCAGGCCAGGCCGTAGCCAGGCAAGGGTCTTAAAAAGGGCAATCGGTGAAGGAGGATGGAGTGAACTGGATGGATGGGTGGATGGGTGGATGGAGAATGATCAATGAATGGCAGATACCCCATAAAAAGCCCCAATTAAATATGGGCCAAAATAGGTCTAGCTTCCTCGGGGAGCAGCTGAATCTGGGGTTGATGATTCATCATTCCTAGATTGAGGGGCTCTTTTCCTGACATATAGCCAGGTATGTACTCCGTACAGAGTAGTACTATTCACACATTCACTTATTATGTAGACCTTCATGATTGCGTACCTGCTCTCATCATGGAATTGGCGTGCTGTCATTCGATATCTCATTACAAGAAATGGCAGGCTTTTACAAAGGCGTCCTGACTTACAGTACCTAGGGGATCTACTCGGGAAGTGGCTATCGGCAGTGACCATCACGTGATACAGGAGCGTATGTATATCCTCGCACACTTGTACGGAGTAGTTGGACTTGAAATAATGCGGTACCAAGTACATCGCATGTATCTCACTGTTACCTCTATTCATACTGCCGAGTAAAAGCTTTTCAATGTCTACTACGAAGTAGAAAGTAAGGTAGGTATGCCCAGGTAAGTCTGATACACGACCGGGTACCGATTGTACATTTAGTATACTCAACCCTTACTGAATGAGGAGTTATATAACAACAACCGTTGTAACTAGTAATACTAGTAGATTCACTATATTTAATTCAATCCACAATCTATTGTCTAGGTAGATACCTAAGTTTGTTTAACACATATTATACAATTTGTTTTTGTATAAAAATAATTTTGCGTATTATTCTTCTAAAGCAGACTTTTAGATATGATTGAGAAAATAAGTTATTCAAATTTCTAAACTAGTCTTTTGTACGGAGCAAGGGAGTCCTAATAATTCACTTGTCAGCGAATTTGTCAGCGCATGTGACTATTAGGTAGGTATCTAAGTCCCTAAGGTACAGTAATGATATATTTCCAGCGCCTCGGAGGTATAGAGATGTAGTCACCAGATATTATGCAAAGCAAAGGTATCAATTTAGATATATATGGTATGCATACTGTCTTACCATTTATATGTAAACTGTAGTCTTAGGCCAGGTTCTCTGAGGATGGAAACTTCTTACGGTGAAAAAAGGGGGCTTGGTCTTGATGAATGTACATATACTCTAGAAAGCAATATATAAATCCATTAGAATGTGAATTAGAGAAGATGCCGCAGGAGTGGTCTCGGCTCACGCTTCACAAGCTGGAAATCGGAGAACTTGCATGTTGACATCCCAATCGCCTCTTTCCATCCCTTCTCCTAACCTGTTTCCCCAAAACTTGACTTTCTTTATATTCTCCCCGGTCTTTTATCCGTACCCCCGGCTATGATTCTCACGTCGCTAGATCGTGAACTAATCTTGAGGTTGGGAGTGAAACAGCTGTATGAGTTTCCAACCCACCTCAGGTTCGATCTCTGTACCATCACGAGCAATTTTGACTTCCCGATTGGAATTCCAGGGATTCCTTAACCCTCTTGTACGATGGAACGGGACCCGAGTAGTTGAAAGCCACTGGATTCTGAACGGTTTCCCGATTAGTTGTGCCTCCATATCAGTAGGTCCTTGCACTTTCTCATTAGTGATACTTTTCTTACTCGCACCACTCTCTTCTTCTGATGATTCTGCCTCCCAGAAGACTGTCCCTCGTGCAGAGTCATTGATGATTCGTCCACTGGGAGCGGTGGATGTTGCTGGCGCCGGAGTCACGTCCAAAGGTTCAGGTTCACGGATGTTGTCCAGTCGTGGTGGCATCTCCAAGGTTAAACTCGCATCATCTTGTATCGGTGACATCATACGGGCGTATCCATAATATTCACCAGACTTGTTGGCGGAGAAGATAAGAAAGACATTGTCTGCGGTCTGATTTCTGGTTAGTGAAATATGTCAATATTAAGAAACCTGTGTGGGCGGCCATAGACATCACCTCGTAGGCTTGGTTAAGCTGGTCTTCATTATGGATTTGAGTTGCCCAGATGTTGCTCTGTCGACTGAATTCAAGATCGCCAACGGTCAAGCTTTTAACTATGAAGTACTTGCTAGGCACTCGATTGGGCGAAAGCCTACTGTCTGCATCTTTTTTCTCAGAGCCACTATTCTGTAGTTTGGCTTCATTATCCTGGAGCGATAGAGACGCATAAGAGCTTATATAGTCTGAGTTAGGCACGGGGGAAACAGTCCCCTGACGTAGGCGGCAAACAAGTCTTGCGCCGTGGAACCTAGAATCATTGAATTTTGACATCGCTGTAGCACAGGAGGTCGCCGTTTTATAATTAATAAAAGCGCAGTTACTTTTGGATATAAGAAAGACACTTTCCAAATCCTTTGTAGCATCTTCAGAAAAGTAGTCTTTCAGGTCAACAATATTTGTACCAGGAGGAAGGTTGCCGACCCAGAGAGCATTTCCGGATTGCTTTGGTTTTCTCGGTGGCCCCCTTGGGGTATTCGATGTAATTGTATGGAATGTATAAGAATTAGAGCCTGGAATTTTGGTTATATTTCCCAAAACTTAGCTCGTCTCATTACATTCGCAGTTCGTGTTTCTCAACTTACCCGCCGAAAAAGGGGTTTGAACAGGAGCGGGTCTCATAGGAGTCGATCCATCTACGATAGTCTTTGAGACATCGTATTCAATATCAGGATTTCGTTCTTTCTGTTCCTTTGCCGGACTGGATGTCTTGGCATTTGAACTCTGTGTGCTCCCAGACTGAACACGCGGCTCTAGATGGCTTGAAGACGTAGCCGGAGGACCCTGCCCATGTCCAAGTGCTGCCATGTATGTCGACTGAGGATAGCAATTGTATCCATACCCAGCGACTCGGCCTGCAGTGTGAACATTCAAGTGAGATGA